TTCTTTTTTCAGCTATGAGTAGTTAGACTAGGTCCAGTGTTTTATAATCAATTTATCATGAAGGAACCCCCAGTAAATGCATTATGCTCCATAACTTTGATGACAGTAGATATATATTTAGAGAATTTATATGTAAAGACAGTAGTAGTAAGTCAGTTTAGCTGACTGAAAAAGACTATCAAAAACAGCCTACCAAAGACAAAATTAATATGGTAAAATTATATTCCTCAAAAGTCTGATCAAATATTAGCTTACATTTTCTGTGATGTCAAGAAATTTGATAACTGTTCATCTAATCAGTATTGTTAAGTATCATTGTGGTCACCCAAGTCTCACAAAAAGAATTCTCTATGGAAAAGTAAAATCAGAGGGAAATGTTGGACAGCATGAATTATCTTGGAATATGTACACCACCAGAAGCTTGCCCGAAAGCATTTTGTTCTTTGTTGGGGAAGAAGTGATGTAAAAGGAGGTTGAGGGGACAAGGGCTTCATTAACCATAGGCTTCTTAGGGGGAAAGGATGTCCGGAGCGAACTCTACAGACACAGGTTTTGTGGACTCCACCTCCACTCCAGACACTGAAACTACAAATCCCAGCATCACTAAAGGGAAGCATGCCGGGACCTGAGCATGGAGTTAAACAGCTATGTTTGGATATAAAACCAGATACGTGGGCTTTGGGCTCTCTTGTCTCATGGTTCTCGGCTTGCCTCTTGGCTTTTTGCCAGCTTTCAGCGTGCTATTGGGGCTCAAGGGCAAAACTGATAAGACACGTTAACCAACTTATCACTCTCTCTCTCCCTGAGTTATTCATTTCCCTTTCTCTTGTCAATAAACCCATTAACCTTTTTGTGTATAACTACAGTTGAATCTTATAAATCCCTTTAAGTGCATAGGTGAAGACCCACTGTCAGGCAACCCAAAATCTGTGTGTGTGTGTGTGTGTGTGTGTGTGTGTTTGTGTGTACACGCCTACTGCAAAAGGGCAACTGGGAGGGCCAAGAAGGTGGCATGCACTTCCCACTGTCCACAGTGCTGAGTCAGGCCAGTAACACTCTCCAGGGAACAATGCCAAAATGACTAAGTAACCCCCTTCATTTATTTGTATCGGTTGTGACTCACTCCTGGGCAAGGGCAACTGCAGGCCTGTGTTCCTGCCTGTTAACTTTTGGTTGATCATTACTCAAAATGTCCTAGTACCACAATACAATTAGAGTGGAATTAAACTTGAATTATGAAAATGACATGCTTAATTACAATTACAATCAAAATTAATAACTGATTGGTGAATCACACTATAGGTCTGGAAATCAGTCAGGGACCCTAACAGCCAAAGAGTCCCTTGCACTATTTATGAACAGGGCAAGTTGAATTTGCTAACATCACAATTAGACCATGTCCAAGGTCTCCAGGAGATGTAGCTGTGCTATGGTTGGAGTGGGGCTAAAAAACGCCATTACCTTTCTCTTATTATAGCCTCCTGTCACATTCACTCCCGGGTAACAAAAACTAAAGAGCAGTTGTGTTTTCCACTGAAGTTGAATGTTCAGTGTGACAGCTATTTGAAGATGGAAAAAATTTATCTTTTCATCATTGTGCTAACAATGAGGGAAAATTCTTTTTTGTTTTTTTTTTATTTCATTTATTTATTCATACAGAACTAGAGGAATAGGGGCAGCAAGAGGCCTCACCAAAGACAGAGTGGGGAGCAGAACAGGCAGATCAATGAAGTACACTGCTGAGGGGAGCAAGCCAGTGGGTCAGGAGAGGTCTGCCGCACCATGTGGATCACCTCCAGGGCCTGGAGTAGAACTTGCACTGAAGCAGCTGCTGCTAGTTTGCAGTGCTGCATCCTAACCTAACCCATTGCACCAACAGGGAGGTCCCATGAGGGAAAATTCTTAAAGCTAAAAAAGGAAAGTGCAATAACAGAGCTTCTTCAAGAGATCATATCTGAAACTTAGTAGGCTAATTTTTTAATAGATGACACAATAAAATGTGGCTAAAAACAGAAGAGATATAACCACAAAGATAATATTTCCATCGGTTCAGTTTTCTGTTGTCTTACAGAAGAAACACAAGGCAGGCCCTCCCTGGTGGTGCAACAGGTTAGAGCACAACACCATGAAGCTACCGCAGCCACTGTAGCATGAGTTTTATCCCTTCCCAGGGAGGTGCCCCACATGGCATGGCAGACCTCTCCTGACCCCTTGCTGCTCACCTCAGCAGTGTATTTAGTCAACCTGGCTGTCCTGCTCCCCCCAGTTCTGTATGCATAAATCCCCACAGTTCTGTATACATAAATAAATGGAAGGAAGGAAGGAAAGGAGGAAGGAAAGAAGACGATGCAGCAACAGGGGCGTGGCTGGAAATGGAGACCTAAAAAGTGTTTCAAAAAAAAAAAAAATTGTTTCATCAGGTTAAAGATTATCAGGAGGAATTTTTTTGGCATACAACATAAACATAACTATTTTCCCTCTCTGCTCCCCAAACCTATCATCAACGCTGTGTCACTCCGACATCTCAGAATCATACCTCCCTCCCTGGGGCCTTTGGCCTGCCCATGACTCTGACTTAAACTTTGACCACTGGACACTGACTTGGGGTGTAGATGGCTGAAGTACTGAGACATGAGGCTCCTAACGCAAAAGATTGCAGCAGCCAAGCACACAAGCGCTCATCGTGTTTCATCATCCTCAGTCAATTTGCCTAGAATGCTACTACCTCTCTGCGGGCTTCAAACATCCAGATGTATCAACAGAGCACACACCCCATAACAGGGCTGCCCAAGCAGCACTTAATCAGGATAGGAGTGGAGCTGCATACCATGCAGAGTTGTGGGATTAACAGAGACAAGAGCAGCACACCTCAGAGCCCAAATTAGATCTCGTGCTTATGCATGCATCAGAGGCCAGTGGATGCTTGTCTCCCCACAGGGCCACTGTCTTACTCATCTTTGGATTCCCCATTCACCTCACATGGAGTAAACGCTCAATCACTGCAATAGTCAATTCCCAAATTCTCAAGATAAAAGGGAGGGCCGGGGTCAAGACCCAGCAGTGAAGATGGCCACAGTGGTGACCTTCTAGCTACTGGGTCTGAGCTGGGTGGCAGCATTGGCACTCAGCCTGCCCTTGGGCACAGGGTGTTTCTAGTGTGCAATGTGGTCAGGTCTGTGATGATAAACTATAGAAAAAGTTTGATTTGCTGGATGAATGAATATTTTTCTATTGATTTGATAACCAAGTAGTCCGTGAGCGAAGTAGGGGCTGTGGGAGAGTGTGATGGGGTTGGGGAGGGGGTCAGCCACCCAGAGTTTCTACCCACTTGGACAAAGAAAAAATGGCACCTGCAATTTTACTGAGGCCTGCCCTTCGGACAACAGACCACTAGCAAGGAGACTAGAAATGAAGCCGAGAGAGGAAAGGAGGGTCCAAGATATCAGGTGTCAGGTCCCCAATAAAGACAGCTGTTATCAAGCACCAGGGAGGGGAGGAACGGGTTGTCACTGAATGATAGATGACACATTTTGTAGATATCAGCCTTATTCTTAACCATTATGATTTATACTGTATTCTACTCTTTCCTCGAATTACCTTGGAAAATTCAAAGACAAAAAGAAATGATAGTTTTATGCTGAAAAATCCAACTAGTAAAAATGCCCACTTCCCTATGCCCTAAAAAAGTAAACCAAGGCTACTGAATACCTTCCTCTATTTTTTAGTCCTCTTAATCTAAAATTTGAAACACCTTGTGCCCTTTTGGATTCATGGCCCAAGACAAGCACCACCACCATCCCAAACTATAGAGCCCCTGGAAGTTCACTCAAGGTCAATGACAGCCCAAAATCTAACCAAATACAACAGAAATAAAGTTTGTCATCTCTTTAAATGCTGACCCAGATTTTAAAATACATTCAAAAAAAAAAATTAGTAGATCTGTTGTACCTAAGAAGTATCCAGCAATGACAAAGGGATCGAGTAGAACTAAAACAGACAGTCTTGGTCAAAAGGTTACCAGGGATAATATTCTGAGGTTTAAATTCATACCATGAAGCAATACTAGCTGCTTCAACCAACTGAACATAGCAAACTTCCAGTTACACAAAATTATACAGATGTTTTCACTGTACCACATTTGTTTTTTCAAAATGCACTAGAATGTGCAATTTATACAATTTTTTGAAAAACCTCCAGAAGATAAATTCCTCCCAGTGGTATCTTTGACATTTGATCTTCTCTAATCCCCAAATATGGGCATAAAATTGTTTCAATAAATATTTTTGAAAAAACATATAAATGCTTAGTTTTTAATTAAACCTCACCATTTATTTCTTCCTAATTTCAGAGTTGTAGCTCCCATAAACTTTTGCTCCCCTATAAACCCAAAGTCTTAAAGGATTCTTAACACTGACCCCAAGTGAAAGATGGTTTACTGGGTCAAAAGCAAGGCACACAAACAGATCTGGGACTGGTTAACTCAGTGGATTTGTTAACTCACTTCTAAAAATATTAAATAAGTTTCTTACTGCAGGACTTTTCCAAACAGTTGTTTCTCTACAACAATGCCCTCTAAAAGGAAGGTATAATTATGTGATATCTAAGCTTATTTCATGGAAGTGTTCTATTTTATTTCATGTATCGCTAATGAACCATTAGCAAGAAATAGGATTTGCAGGAAGATACTTTGAGAACCAGAAGTTAGAAAGAAGTACTAGCAAAACCTCAAAATAGGTGTAAATGCCATTAGCTACTTCTTTAAAACCATGAGCAAGGCTATATGCAAGCTTTTAGAAATACCCTGTAAGAACATATAAATGAACCACTAGCACAAATTACTACCTTCATAGTAAAAACTAAGGCAGCTACTATTTTGCATAAAGAACAGAATTATGAATGGTCAGCCCTTAGAATGCACTGATTTCCTGCATTTCTCAAGTTTAAATTTTATAAGCCTATCCAATTTGGATATTTTGACAATCATAATGAAGAAAACTTACCACCACCACAAGCTGTGTTTTTAAGAACTGACTCCTTGGGGGCTCCTTTTTCAATTCGTATTGTGGCCCACTGTTCAAAAAAAGAAGTATTAATTCAAACTGCTCAGCAAAACAATGTAAAATACTTAAACCACACTTATACAATAATGAAATTAAACATTAATCTCTGTGCTATTTGAATTAAAGTGATGCCAGGAAATCTCTGATGCAGCAATACTCCAAGTCCCAAGTACACTGTTATAGTTACTGACTGCCCCAATAAAATGAACGAAAGATCATGTTTATGCTATTTAAACCCCCTCATACACCTGGCACCCCCAAAAAATTACTCCCTGAAAAGATCATAAAGAATGTCAGTCAGGAGTACAAGTTATGGCATTTAAACTGTGTTTAAAGTTATATAATCTTTTCAGGCTTTAGTTTCCTCATCTGTAAAAAGAAGCCAACAGTGCCTATCCCATAGGTTGCTAATGAGGATTAAAGAGATGGCCACAAAAAGACCTAAACACAGGACCACAAATTAACTATTACTTTCATAACAAATTTGACATTCAACAATAAGGCACACTCAAGAGGCCAAACTGCCTGCATCAGGAATGAGCTGGAGAGCAGTGAGAGAAATGGCTAATTTACCAGATCATCAGCCCGCAGGTCGCTTACTTATTCTGATGTGTAGGGAAAATGTTATGATTAAGAGCAACCACAGGTGTGAGCAATCTTAAGAACAGGAAAAACCAACTCCCGGTTAATTTTGAATATTTAAAGGAAGATAAGGAATTACACCAAGAACCAATGTTATTCTTTTTATACTTGCTTAAGCATTTAAAATTACCTACTATTAACATCATAGTTCAAAAATTGCTGCAAGCACACTACTTTGACAGCATTTACCCCAAGGGCTATTTTTTCTAGTTAAGAAAAGGAACAATTAAAATATTATTCTGATGTCTACAATTACATAAGCTAGCAGCAATGTCTAAACTGAGTGACTTGGCAAAAGGGTAGAAAAATCAAGTAAAAGGTAAAAGACATCATAATAATTATAATTAGTTCTTAAGCTCCCTCATAAAAAGGCATGGAATGTTGTCAAGGCAAAAACCTCAAAGAGGTTAAAAAAAATCAAATAAATGAGAAAATAACTGATAAAAACAAATAACCTAAAACATATACAAGTGTAAGGCTTGATCCAACTACATGTGGAATTCTGCAAAACTTCTCAGAGCCAAGTAGGAACAAGCTATTTGCATGTAGAGAACAGCCTATACATAGAAGTCTAATCTAGCTTCAAATGGCAAGTCACAGATGCACTCTTAATCTGGTTGAGTCCTTTTCTCATCCTTGGTGATTTGGAGAAGTTCTTAAACTCTGACTAATACCTCCCATCTTTCCTGAAGCAGTAAAGGCTTATTCCATTGTTTTTCATTTTAATGCTTTGATACATATTACCATTAGTGAGAACACCAAAGATACAGTTTAAAATAAAATCTTATAATCATTGCTCATCTGAGAGCTTACTTCTTTTTACTGTGGACATGTGATTTTATGTAAATGGCAATTACCTGAGACTAGGACAGCTGTGTGTCACTGCCCAGACAAATGACCTCTCTGAACCATTATTCCACTAGCAAGGAGACTAGAAATGAAGCCGAGAGGAAAGGAGAATCCAAGGTACCAGGTGTCAGGTCCCCAATAAAGACAGCTGTCATCAAGCAGGGGGGAGGGTTTTGTAGATATCAGCCTTACTCTTAACCATTATGATTTATACTCTCTATTCTACTCTTTCCTCGAATTACCTTGGAAAATTCAAAGACAATCTAACATTCTTCAATCTAACAAAGGGAGAAACAGTAGGTCCTGTCTCAGAGAGTTGTTTTGGAGCTAATTTAAGTGAAAAGTATGTTGCTTTGTAGTTCTTCTTTGTTATTATGTCCTATTATAGTCATGACCTACCTGTACATTTACTGTATTTCCAACAAGGTTAATACCTAATTATTATAAAAACAAGGTGTCATAAACACCTGAGAATTATTGACTTTTTTTTTCTTAAAGATGGAAAACTAACTGGAGAATGGAGGAGAGGGTAAAGGAAAGAATAATTAAAAGGCAGGAATAATCTTTTCCCTATGAGTTTACCTATCAAAGAGCTGAAGATAGATTAAATTTTAGCCACATAGGAAAAACAAAAAAGATCAAAGTGTTTCAATTCAAACTCCACTAAGAGCTGATTTCCTACTACATATATCAAGTATTTTCATAGTTCTCTCCTCATTGGCACCAAGATTTGAAATGGCAGATTCCTATATAAACTCAAGTAGAAACTAAGGTTGAGATGTTACAATGACCTAACCAAGGTCAAACATTTGGAGGAAACTGTTCTTCAAATGTTGAGAGGAACATTGGCCCATGAACATTTATTATCTGCCCATTGCCTATTATCTGGTGAGACTGGATAATTCACAAAGCATTCCTCCTCAGATAATTCAGGCAGTGCAGGTAATAAATATTCTCTTTCTACTTTTATTATCCTCTAAACCTGAACCTTAGGTCAATCAGTTGCCACTCCTAACCCCATCAACTTTCATGGTTAAGAAAGGCATTTTCCAGCCTTTAATCCATAATCCTATTTGGTCAACATAAAAATTTGACACACCCTCCCAGAGATTCTAATACATAAACCCTTATCATCTAAGTGAACTACCCTTTCTATATCACCTCAACCAATTGTTTTATTTTTCATGGCTTATACTCCTAAAACAATTTTATTTTAAATAAAATAAAATAACAGGCCCTCCCTGGTGGCAAAACAGGTTAAAGCACAGTACTATCAAGCTAGCGCAGCCACAGCAGCAGAGTTCGATCCCAGCCCAGGACGTGACCTACATTGCCCAGCAGACCTCTCCTGACCCGCCCGCTGCTCCCCTCAGCAGTGTACTTCTTCAGTCTGCCTGTTCTGCTCCCCACTCTGTCTCCGGTGAAGCTTCTCACTGCCCCGAGCCCCTGGCCTGTGCATAAATAAATAAATCTTTAAAAAATAATAAAATAAATAAAAAATATAATAATGACACATCTTGAGAATCACTGTTTTAGAGAATCACAAGCCTTACTTTAAACTAAGAATTTGAGCCTTGTCCTGAAATGGCTTGCCACTCTGGGACTTATATACACATCTAGAAATAACCAGCAATACAGTGGGCAGCTTGCAATAAATAATTATTTTTGTTAAGATTTATTTATTTGTGCATACAGAACCTGGGTACAGGCTAGAGGTGTGGAAGCTGAGGGGATTCACCAGACATAGTGGGGAGGAGAACAGGCAGATAAACTGAAATACACTGCTGAGGGGAGCAGTGCTCAGGGGAGGTATGCCAGACCATATGGGTCAGTTCCCTGGCCAGGGATCAAACACGTGCTGAAGCAGCTACGGCTAAATTCCTAGTGCTGTGCTTTAACCCCTTGCGACATCAGGGAGGGCCCACAATAAATATTTATTATCTGAACTGGTAAGTTGAAGAGACTATAGAGCTGAGTGGTTAACAATTACCACAGGCATTCAAAAGGTATCCTGCACACATGTCAGCTTCCAGAATTTCAGTTTATGACCATGGAAAAGCACTTATAAAAGTATACACAGAATGTACTAATCTAAATGACCTTTTTTTTATTAAAAAAAAAAGATTTATTTCTACAAGAAGTGGAGTATAGGCCAGAGGTGTGGGGAGTGAGGAATTCACCAAAGACAGAGTGGGGAGCAGAACAGGCAGATAGACTGAAATCCACTGCTGAGGGGAGCATTGGCCAACCAGGAGAGGTCTGCTGCATCATGTGGATTAGTTCCTGGCTGGGGATTGAACTCCTGCTGCAGTGACTGGTGATAGCTTGATAGTGCTGAGACTTTAACCACTGCATCACCAGAGAGATCCAGGAGAGAAGTTTTGAAAACATAAAATTTAAATTAAATCATGGAATTTTAAAGATATGTTTATTTATCCATATTAGAACTGAGGTGCAGGCTAGGGTGGTGACAAGATTCACCAGAGACAGAGTGAAGAGCAGATCAGGCAGATTGACTGAAATACAACTGCTGAGGGGAGCATGGGACAGCCAGGAGAGGTCTGCTGCATCATGTGGATTAGCTTCCTGGCTGGGGATTGAACTCCTGCTGCAGTGACTGTGGAGAGCTTCACAGTGTTGTGCTTAACCCCCTGCACCAGCAGAAGGGCCCGTACATGACCTTTTCAAATAGTATGTAAATCATAACTGAGGAAACATGGGTAGGCGAAACTTCTCAGTCAAATCAAAGAGCCCAAAGTATATTCTTGAGACTAGAACACAAAAGAAATAACCAAAATCAAGAACTGACTAGGGAATAATGTGTAACAGGAGGCCAGGCCTTGAATGAAAGCTACAAAAAAAAGCAAGGTATTTCTCATGATTAAAAGATACATAGTGCTAGCCCAAATGCCCAAAAGTAGATGACTGGATTAG